GTTTAATTTCTCGTTCTTCTTGTTTCTTTTCTTTTTCCTCTAACAACTGTTGCAATTTCTCTTCTCGTTCTTTTTGTTTCTTTTGCTGTTCGTGTATTGCTGCCATCAAGTCTGCTAGGTTGTAGTTTGATTTGCCGCTTCTCGTTTCCATTTTTTTTCTGTCCCACTCTCTGACACCAATTTGTTACGTCTCCGTTTGTCAATTAACTTTCCGTAACTTGGTTCCGAGGAAACTTTAACGACACAAGTCCTTACTTAATAAAACTGGTTTATTCTTTCTGAATATAACTTCATGATACACTTATTTTCAACAGTCGCTCTTTTACAAACGTTTTAACAACGAACGTTAACTTCAACAATACGTCTCTCTCTCTGACTGCAGTTCAATTACTCATTACCTATACACACATTACATTATTCTCCCGTCACGTTGTCACCCTCTTTTATATACCAGACTACCCTATATCTAGTAAGTACTAGAGCATTCGCCAAGGTACAGGATAGTTCTAGAAAATAGGTGGCGCCACACTAGTCACGTTACCTCGATGACGCAACAATATGAAAATAATGACGGATTGAAAACACCTGTGGCTGTGTTAACAATCGTGTAGTAGTCAGAAAAATTTTCGAACAAATATGAATGATAAATATTTTTAATGGAGGTTTCATCACTGTTGTCTCTTTGTCTTTAATTATTTTCTTAGCGATTTGGTGGAAATTACATAAAACCTAATAACAACCCAGCTGGTTGGAAGAGGCTTAGTTTAATAATTCTCCTAAAGCAAATGTCTTGTGGGCACTATTTGTCGCTTCAATGATAATTCAAGAAAAGGCCAGGCAGATTAAAATTAGCTTGACTTAACAATGATCAATACATGTCGTAATATTTAACGTTGAAATATATTGTGTATACACACACACACTTACAATAAAAAAGTAAATTAGATAGAAAAATATTCACGATATAAAACAATAAAGTAATAAAAGAAAATCCCTTTAAACTTTAATTGTACAAAATACAATAACAAAACTTTTAACAATGATTTTAAAAATAGAAGACAATACTTACCAATAACAAAACCTCTTTAGCTAGATTTTAAAAGGCACAGTACATTATATAACACAAAAACGCCCTTTAACAATGAAAAACATGAAATTTCCTTCAACATTGAAAATCAATGCGCAAGTACACACACTCACAAAAAAATAAAATTAAAGGAAAAGAAATAATACTTCAGAGGTACACTTTCCACTTTAAGAGTGGACACAGTAATTCAATTTCTTAAACTGAAATAAAATGAAAAACTAAATAAAAAGAAAACGCTTTAACATTGATTTATAATATAATTTTCACTTTAACAATGAGAGCACATTTTAAATCAGAACATGAACAATGACTCATAGCTGCTCCCTCATGGAAGGAGTAGTCTGTTTGTTGGATTTCATGCAAAGCTACTCGGAGGTTAAGAGGTACTAGCCATCCTTGATTTAGGAGCTATAATCGATTAGAGGGAAGGCAGCTAGTCAACATCACTCACTGCAAACTCTTGAGCTAATCTTTTACCAATGAATAGTGGGATTGACCATTACATTATAACACCCACAAAACTGAAAGGGCGAGCACGTTCGGTGATGGGATTCGAACCCGCGACCCACATACTGCAAGTAGAGCATTCTGACCACTAGGCCCACACACACACATGTAGTCAAGGCTACTCTCGGTTTGCCTGCTACTATGAGTGGCCAGCAGAGTGGCTTGTGCCAAGATTTCCAAAACGTAAAACCAGGACAACCCCTCATTCGCTCCTAA